CACTGAAAAACGTTGATTAAAAGCATAAAAAGGTAAATTTTCAGTTCCCACGGACTCTCAAGCTAAGGAATTTAACTAAATTTTGGCGCCATTTTCTCGCTAATTTTACCTCTGAAACCAGGCAACCCCACCTCCTTCAATCAGCAACATCTTGATTTGTTAAAGATACTTGGATTTTTTCTTCATATAAAGCAAAACAAGTGAACAAGCTTTAATGATGATACCAATAACTCCACATGCCCCAAAAATGACAAGCGCTTGATTCCACCGCGTCGTGACACATAGAGTTCAATTGTTGTACCCGGAGAAAACATATGACGCACTCAATCATCAATTACACAGGCAGAACCTCCAGGGAAAACAATTTTAGTGTAAAACTGATATGTTTTACGCCTCCGTCGACACTCTTTAGATAATTTAGGAGGTAGGTAAGGCTGCTTCGACTCTGCCTGCCAACTATCAAGCCATCCCAAGCTGAGAAGGATGGATATATAACGTCCCAGCACACAGACTGAGATGTTCAACAAAAAAAGTGTTTTTTTAATCATCTCTATATCGGAACATGTCCCTGACACATAAATACCTCCTTCAGGGAGATGAGAAGCCGTTCTGTGTCGGGTCATAGACTTCAGAGAGACGCCAAGAAAATATTTTAGATGCAAAAAATTGCAACATCTGTTTTCCGTCGTTGATCCCAACAGAATCCTTGATTTTATAAAGGCCATCGGCCTTTATGGAAAATTGTAATAAGTGTCAAAATTTTTAATGTTATTTAAAAAGTGATCTGCTGCTGCTACTGCTGCTAGTGCTGCTGCTGCTGTTGCTCCTCCTCCTTCTCCTCCTTCTCCTCCTCCTCCTCCTCCTCCTACTACTACTACTACTACTACTACTACTACTACTACTACTACTACTCCTACTACTACTCCTACTACTACTCCTACTACTACTACTACGACTATTACTACTACTACTACACAGAGTCCAGAGAGTGACCCAAAACAATATTCCCACCCACACAGGTCACCTCAAGTCCTCCGTCATAAATGAGTTGTGTGGAAGGTGAAAGGGGGGATAACTAACTAGACGAATTATGTCACTCTAGGGACATCGTTATGCCAGAGAGAGAGAGAGAGAGAGAGAGAGAGAGAGA